GGCCGCTATTGACTACTATGGTTAATCTTGTCAAGAACGGCAGTCCAGACAAAAGACTTGACCTTAGAGTGGGAGTCTTAGATTTCAAGATAGATCTATCCAAAAGAAAACAATCACTATTTGAATAAGGAACTAAAATTGCAATATATACTGAGACAACAAGGGTGTTCTGTGGATGCACAAAATATCTCAACGCATCCAAACACCTAACTCAAATTTTCCGTACCTACTCTCCATCTCTCTACTTTTAGACACTTTTCCAACTGAACTCACACCTTCACTTCTCTCTCCCCTCCTACCATGTGTATAGGCATTTACAAGCAATGTCTCATGCATAATCCCTTCCATCTCTCCTATCTTGCTCACGTGAATCATTAACAGACTGCCCTACCCTTTATTTTCTCATAGACTTTTGAGCAACAAAGTCACACTGCAATTGTCTTATATCTGTAGTATTTATCATTTGCTTGAGTAGAAAATATATCCTAAAATGATACATTAATTACCTTCGTTATCTTTTCAAGATCATCTCTTCCTCCATCAGTTATATCATCACCAAATACAATTCGTTCAGCACATCGGCCACCATGTGCCACTACCATTTGCATCATCATGTAACCAAAAGTTGTATAACCCTGGTCTACCATATCTTCTCGCGGATAGAATACAGATACTGCAGTTTCCTGGTTAATTAGAACATATATTCAATGTGAAGACAAAATAATAATAGTAATAATCAAATATCATCAGTTTTCATATTGCAGTAACCTGACATCATACCTTACCACCAGGCAGGAGCTGCGAAAATGCATGCCAGTCAAACCGAGGAAATAAGTGAGCTAGAGCTACATGACCAGCTTCATGAACAGCAAGCAGTCTCTTCTTTTCAAAAGATACCTAAAGTACAGTATCAAATTAAAAATAATAAAAAAATGGTTTAGTGTGTTAGTTTCACATTAAGAAAACTAACTAGATAGACATACCCTTTGTTCACATTTTTGTTGCTCTTCCTCTGTCAGAAGGACACCCATACCCTCAAGTAGTTGTTTATCTAGTACATCAATAATATCTTGCTGAAAAATTTTGGAATGCCCTTTTCTCACCTGCAACCAACAACTTTGTACGATCAAAACCTTTTATCATAGCTTTCTACCAGATTAACAAGAATAAATGTTACCATAACTGTCAAAATATATTTTAGGAAGTTTTAGATATTATTCCTACTGTATTTTAATTCTATATATTTGCTGTATCTTGCTATTATTACTACAATAACAATCACACAATTACAGGGATTTGTTCTCTAGAATAGGCTGTCCTTATTTCCTAAAATAGGCAACAAATTCATGTATATATATATATATATATATATATATATATATATATATCTGATGTATCTCATGATTAAAAATAATAAGATATTATTTCTTCTAAATTTGAGATGGTATCAGAGCTCCTGATCCTTGGGAGCCTCTGACTGTGATCTGATTGCAGCCTTCATTGCTGCACAACCCTAGAATTCCATCACAGCCGTCACTGTTGCGCAACCCTAGAATTCCATCAGCCTTCATTGCTGCACAACCCTAGAATTCCATCGCAGCCTTCATTGCTGTGTGATCCCAAACACTCATCACAGCTTCTATTGCTGTGTGCTTCCCTACTTATCAATCTGCTTTTCTGTACCTTAATTGCAAATATTTGTAATGGCTGAAAAGGAAAATGGAGACAAGTTCCAAAATACAGGTGAGCTGCAGAATGTCCATTCAGCCTATCGATTGAATGAAAAAAATTATCTCAAATGGTCTCAACTCATTAAGACCATCCTGAAAGGGAAAGGAAAGGTCAGCCATCTAACTGATGATGCCCCTGCTGAAGACGATGCCAAATTCAAGTCATGGGATGAAGAAGACTCTATGATTATGGCATGGCTATGGAAATCAATGGTTCCGGAAATCAGCGATACATGCATGTTCCTTAATTCTGCGAAGGCAATATGGATTGCAGTAGAGCAAACCTACTCTAAGGCAAAGGATGCTGCCCAGATTTATGAGGTGAAGGTAAAAACTATGGCAGCCAAACAGGGCACTAAAACTGTCACTGAATATGCTAATCAACTCAAATCATTATGGATGAAATTGGATCATTACAGGGTTATAAAGGCCAAGTGTTCTGAGGATTCAGCAATTCTAAGGGATTACATTGAACAAGACCGGGTGTATGACTTTTTGGTAGGCCTAAACCAAGAATATGATCAAGTAAGGATCCAAACATTGGGAAAGGAGAAGGTTCCTGGACTCAATGAAGTAGTGGCAATTGTTCGAAGTGAAAAGAGTGGAAGAAGCCTAATGCTAGAGACCCCAATTGTGGATAGTTCAGCTATGATTGTTGAAGGAGCAACAGCCATGGTTGCAGAACAAAAGAAAGTAGGCCTTCTTACAAATCTGGAGAAGAAAAATGAAGGAGTATGGTGCCCCTATTGCAACAAGCCACGCCACACAAGGGACAAATGTTGGAAGTTGCATGGAAAACCTCAAAGCAAAGATTGGGGGCAAAAAGTAGGCCCTCCAAGGAGAGGGGGGCAAGCTCATATTATTGTTGGTCCTGAAAGTCAAGGAGGATCCGTTCAACTCAACCATGAGGAGTTAGAGAGAGTAAGATCCTTTCTTAGTAAATTGGAGAAACCCACAGGTACGTGTTCATTGACATACTTTGATAAGTTCCGATTTTCTTGTGAATTTAATGTCTCAAATACACCCTTTACCCATTATTGGATTCTAGACTCTGGAGCCACAGACCATATGACACCACTCCCTAAAACACTTCTCCACATATTCCCCATGTCCCAGTAACAAGAAAATTTCCACAGCTGATGGAACCCTTATAACTGCAACTGGACAAGGAGATGTCCAAATAATCCCAACCATAATACTAAAAAATGTTCTTCATGTCCCTAAATTGTCCACAAATCTGATATCTATCCAAAAGCTTACAAAAAGGACCTCTTATGTAATGTGATATTTCATAGCAACTCTTGTATATTGCAGGACAAGAAATCGGGGAGGACGATTGGACATGCTAGAGAATGGAATGGCCTTTACTACACGGAAGATCTGAATCTGCCCATTAAGAGTCACTCTCTGATATCCGAGTCCGCCATAATCAGCAAAGAAAAAGTTCAGTTGATTCATTGTCGCTTGGGACATCCTTCATTTCGGGTCAAAGTTATTGTTCCCTTCCTTGTTTAAAAATTTAAATCTGGAGAGTTTTCATTGTGAGGTGTGTGAGCTTGCCAAACACAAGCGTGTACCTTTTCCTATTAACAATAAAATAAGCACTTCTCCATTTTATCTTGTTCATACGGATGTGTGGGGCCCCTCTAATGTCCCTAATATCTCAGCACTACTATTGTACATATAAGTAAAGAGTAAAACTAAACTCCAGTACCCCCCTACAAGCTGAAGTAGGGTGAGGAGGATGTGGCAACTCAACTATTTGAAGCTTGGACCGAAGAGCACAAAACCTAGAGGGAGAGAGAGCTTTCGTAAGAACATCAGCACATTGATCAATAGCTAGAACATGGATGACTTCAAGATGCTTAACAGCTACCTTCTCTCGAGCAAAGAAAAGATCTAATTCCATATGTTTAGTTCGTGCATGGAGAACAGGGTTGTGAGCTAGGGCCACAGTGCTTAAGTTGTCATAGAATATAATTGGAGTTGAATGAAGAACTTTGAGTTCAGAGAGTAAATTTTGTATCCAGGTAACTTCAGTAGTGGCAAGATCAAGGCTTCAATATACTGCCTCAAAGATGGAACGAGCAACAAAAGTTTGCTTCTGGGACCACTAGGACACGAGATTTGGTCCAAGGAAGATGGAAGCACCTGATGTAAATCTCCTATCATCAAGATTTGATGCCCAATTTGCATCATAGCAAGCATGAATAGAAAAAGGGGAGTTGGAAGGGGTTGGTTACAGGTGCAGTCCCTAAGATATAGCACCTTTTAAATAGCGTAGGATACATTTAACGGCAGACCAATGTTGTTCAAGAGGATGGGACATAAATTGACAGACTTTGTTCACTAAGAAGCTGATTTCGGGTCTAGTGATGGTGGCATATTGTAATGCCCCATCCACTGACCTATAGAGAGACGCATCTAAAAAATCTTCAGATCCAATTTTGGATAATTTGCAGCCACTAACCATTTGGGAAGAAATGGACTTTGAACATTCCATATCAATGCGATTTAAGAGATCCCTAATATATTTGCTTTAAGATAAGTGAGCCATCATTCTAAGTTTTCACTTCAATGCCAAGAAAGTAATCAAGGTTACCAAGATCTTTGAGTGAAAAAGCATAATTAAGTTGAGAGATTAATCTATGAAGAATGGTTGAATTATTTCCTGTAATGATAATGTCATCTACATATACCAAGATGTAGATGACATTATTGGCATTGGAGTAGATAAACAACGACGGATCACACTTGCTTGCTTGAAAGTTAAATTGCAGTAGAGCTGATTCTAATTTCTCAAACCAAGCATGGGGTGCTTGTTTGAGCCCATATATTGCTTTGTGAAGTTTACATACTAAACTCTTGTCAATAGATTCAAATCCTTGAGGTTGAGTTATATACACTTCCTCTTCAAGAATGCCATTTAGAAAGGCATTATTGACATCTAGTTGTTGAATAGGCCAATGATGGGTTAAGGCAAGGGTAAGAGCAAGCCAAATAGTGACAGGTTTAATGACAGGTGAGCAAGTTTCATTATAGCCATATCCAAATTGTTGATGAAACCTCTTAACAACGAGGCGGGCTTTGTATTTTTGGACAGTGCCATCAGGGTTTTCCTTAACACAAAAAACCCATTTACATCCTATGGCAATCCTATTTGGTGGTAGATTAATAAGGGACAATGTGCCATTATGAAGTCAGGCATTGTATTCTAGGATAGGTGATGTAGGGATGGATAACTTGGAAGGAGTCATACCAGTTGTAATGTCTTGTGAGTTAGGTGATTCAAGAGGGATGTTTAGTGAGGTTGCTGATGTATGAGATTCAGTCTCCACAGTGGGTGATGTCTCATAGGTGGAAATTGAACAGTGTTCATTTGAGGAGGTTGATGAAGTGTAGGGTGTAGAAGTATGAGTGTTGGTTACAATAAGAGGAACTTGGACAGTTTCTTGGGGAGAATTGATAGTTGATGGAGAGAAGAGATCCTTGTAGGGAAACCTAGTTTCATTAAAGGCAACATCTTTGGAAATATAGAGGTGCCATCTGCTACAAGGCACTTGTAGCCATTGTGAGATGTGGATTACCCCAAAAAGACACATTTGCTACAAGGCACTTGTAGCCATTGTGAGATGTGGATTACCCCAAAAAGACACATTCTTGTGATTGAAATTGAAGTTTGTTTTTATTGTAAGGTTGGAGATGTGGAAAACAAGAGCAACCAAAAATTTTGAGAAAGTTGTAATTTGAAGGTTGTTGAAAAAGTTTTTGATATGGAACTTCATTTTGGATAGACGATGGAAGCCTATTGATTAAGTAAACACTGGTGATAAAGGCATGATCCCAAAATTGCATAGGCAAATTAGCTTGAACTAACAAGGTGAGACCGAGTTCAACAATATATCTATGTTTACGTTCTACTACCCCATTTTGGTGAGGTGCATGTGGACATATGATACAATGTTATATTCCAACACTATTGAGATATGCTGTGAAGAAACGATACTCTCTTCCCAAATCAATTTGAATGGCTTTAATGGGTAGTTGGTATTGATTCTTAACCATAGCATGAAATTGTTTGAAAACATCAAGAGTTTGGACTTTTGCTTTTAAGAAGATAAATCCATGTGAAACATGTGTGAGAATCAACAAAGGTAACATAATATTGATACCCACATGTAGATGTGGCTGGTGCAAGGCCCCATAAATCACTGAATATTAATTCAAAAGGTGTAGTGTAAATTATAGGATATTTTATAGTTTGAGAAGACAGCTAGAAGTGAAAAGCAAGGCAGGAAATTGATATAGATCATCAGAACCAACAAAGCATTGGAGAAGAGTTTCTTTAGTAGCCTATGATTTGACCAAGCAAACTGAGGGATGAAACTAAAAATACAGAATTATCTTTTGAAAATTGACCAACACTAATTAGATTTTTGGTAATGGAGAGAAAAAAAAAAGATTATTTAGAGAAAAATGAAATTTAGGATTTAATGGGGACGAAAAGGTAGTAACACCTATTGAATTAATATTGAGGCCCTGACCATTTCCAATATTGATTTGTTCCGGTCCTTCAAAAGGGGTAAACTGTTGAATACTTTGAGAGACATTGGTTACATGATTTGAAACACCAGAATCTGGATACCAAGTGTTATTTCCAAAATAAGAGGATGAGGCAATCATGGCCAAAGGTTGTAGCTGTAAATTTGCCTGTGTATTTGTAGAGACAAAGTACACTTGTGGGGTGGGTTGTGGCCGAGGCCCAAGAATTCCATTTTGGTGGAGTGGAGGATGAGAGAGTTATTGTGAAGATGAAGGAATGTATTGCACTGAGTAGATTGGGTGGTGTACCAAGTATTGGGATTGGCAGTTTGATTAGCAAAGGTAGAGATGGGTGTATCTAGCAAAGAAGATGGGACAAAATTCTCATCAAACCTGTAGTAACAAGAAGACACAACATGCCCGTAACGATGGCAAACCTGACATTGAAAGCCAGCAAATCTACCTCGTCCACAGCCACCACGGTTGTTGAAACGACCACCATGAGAGCTAGTTCGACCACCACAACAATGGATGAACTGAGATCTAGGTTCTTAATAGGTAAGATTTGCTTGTGGGTGTCATATGGAAGAATTGGATTCAAAGGAGGTTGCAATGACATTAATGGATGCAAAAGCTTGCTTCTTGAATTTATCAAGGCAAGATTCGTGTCCAAGAAGCAAGGTTTCAACTTCGTCAATGTACAACAGGTCAAAGCAACTGCTAATGAAAGATACAGTTGATTCATATTCTTCAGGTAAGCCTTCAAGAATGATATCAAGATGTTCTTTTGCAGGAACAGGGTCACCAATGGCTGTGAGAGCATCAACAAAGGTTTGAATGCAAAGAATATAATTTGAAATGGTTTGATTTCCAAGATTGGTGTTGCACAGTTCATTGCAAAGTTGACGGACTTTGGCATTTGTGTGAGAATGAAAGTAGGAATGTATTTTATCCCAAAGTTGAAAAGATGTCTTGCAGCCTAAAACACGAGTAAGCATGTCTTTAGACATGAAAGATTGTAACCAAGACAGCAAGAGTTGATCTTGCTATTCCCAAGCAAGATAGGATTCAAAGATTTGTCCAACATCAAGATCAATAATTGAAAGAAACTTTTGAGGAATCTAAGGGTTGATGAGAAAGTGATGAAGTTTGTCGCCCTTGATCACTGGTTCAACCTGTTGGCACCAAAGAAGGTATTTCTTGGTGTCCAACATTTTTGATATGGTGTGGGAGAAGGTAAGAGATGGATAAGAATTAGCCAGTAGATTCTTTGGATGAACAATATTGATTGGTGGAGGAGGCATTCTTTGGATGAACAATATTGATTGGTGGAGGAGGTAGTGGTGGTGGAGAAGAATCAACCAATGGAGAAGAATCAGCCATGAAGGAGGTTGTTGAGAGGATCAAGAAAGAAAGGATCGATGAGCTCTATGATACCAAATATAGATAGAGAAGTTGAGAGAGAGAAAGAAAGAATATTTCTTAAATGTAAAATGTTTTTCACTAACTAGAGAGTACAAGTTGTGTTTATATAGAGCCAACAACTTCTAATAGAAGGTGTTGGGCTGTAATTGTTATTAGCCTATAATGGAAAGCAATAAATGTGATTAACAATACAATAGAAAATCATAAAACAAAAACTTCTCTACAAATCCTGCACTACTGTTGTACATATAAGTAAAGAGTAAAACTTTACTCCAATAATTAGCAACATGACACCAAGATTTTCATTGAGTGAACAATGCTACCTCTTTGTGTTGCTTCCATTTTTGAAACATTAAAGATGTTTTGGGGGAATTAGGCCATATAGCCCAAATGTTTTTTTTTTTTATCTTTTTATTTTGATTTGTTGGACCCCAATTTGAGTCCAGTTTGGCTTCTCTCTTTTTTTTTATAATATTTAAAGCATAACATATAAATATATAATATAACAAAATAAAAAAATAATAATAAAATAGAATAAACTAAATAGTAATAGTAATAAAAAAACTATAAAAGCACAACATATAATCTAAAAAAGTAAATAATAATTTAGAATGGTGGCCATCCTGCTAGCAGTTTTGGGGTTGGGCACTCCTCGCCACTATCTGGATCAATAACTGTGGTATTAAGCATATTTATAACAAACTTAAGCATAAAACATGTATGCTCCAAATGAAGGGGTGTGAAAATACTATAGCACATGTTTCATATGTATTATCACATGTCACTAATAATTACGAATTTGATTGTATGGCAATTAATTTATCATCAGCATATCACTAGTATAAATACACATGCTGGATCTGTTTGACACAATTACCTAAACATAATAGTTGTCATTGTTTCCTTATTTCATGTAATTTATTAAGATTTGTAGCCTAAAATTACTAGGATAGTATTATTTTTTTGGGACTATATACATTGTACCCTACCATTGTAAAATTATCAGAAAATAATATTCACTTTTTCTCATATTTCAAGTTAAAGGATACATTACCTGCCTAAACAGAGAAGAAAAAGAAAAATGGAAAGCGATGCTGACAGTAATTCTATTGCCTTTTATAGTATCTAATCCTAAAGTTCACCTTCCCTTTTCTGATAAGTTATGTTGAGAGGCACCAAGAGAACTAGTGTATGCAAGATGTATTCAGGGCCAATATTGATAAATTGCAGTCTAGTAACTATTGTTCTAAGCACCATAAACTTACCGACATTATTGCTGCTTCGTTGACAAGGTTTCTTATATCTGCTCCAGAGAACCCAACAGTGCGGAAGACAAGCTGTTGAGGGGCAAAGAGAACAGCTACAGTCAGCAAAGTAGATCAAATCTCACATACAAACTCAGAATGAAAACACAAATAGGAAGAGATGAATATGATAAAAATGCATTCCAACTTTATGCCATTTTTTGGGAGTTACCCTTGAAACAAATTTTGTTTTAAACATTAGGAAATTACATTCAAGGATAATATATGATTTTAGTCCTTGAACTTCTGTCAATTTTTGTTTAGTCCCAAAACAATTTTTTTTGCAATTTTAGTCCCTGAACTTGTTAATTCTCACTTTTAGTCTTTGAATTTTTTCTCCCATTAACATTTTGGTTCCTGTCGTCAAATATTTTTGTTCATGGAGAAAATTTTCAAGCACTAAAATCAAATAAAATTTATTCAAGGACTAAAATAAAAAATTGAAAAAAGATAAGGGACAAAAAACATATTTAATCCTTTCATTTAATAATGAATATTGATACCAATATATGACTCATAATTTCAACAGTAAATGCAGCATCCTGAAATTCTTAAGAAGTTTATCTGTCTACATTTATATTACATCGTTACTCAATGCCAACACCTTTTAACACCCATTATTGTTTGCTTTTAATTTGGTTGGAGCTAGCTTAAGCATGTTCACATTGAATCTACCCAATGCAGCCTGTTTCAAATAACATGCTCTTATCTTTCTCATACAGTAACTAACTATCATATAACTAATTTATGCTCGAGTGCCTTTTGAACTCATTATCCTACAATTATGTACATATATTAAATATTTCTGTAATGATGATGCGTGCATTTACTTAAGCTAAGAAATCATCTGAAGGGTCCTATTAAATATAAAAAAGAAATCAGAGATAGATGAACTACATACCTCTTCAAAATTCACATCCTCTGCAAGCTGCTTACCGGAACTGTGCACACCAAAAATTTGGACTCTCTGCTTTGCATCAGGCAAACCAATGTACAGACGACGATCAATACGTCCAGCACGAACAAACTCAAGATCTAATTCATCTGGCCTATTTGTGGCACAGATGAATATGATAGCTTGTCTGAGGGATAGACGATCAACACCAGTTTTTTCCTTCCTAATTTCAAAATAGATGAAAAAAGAAATCACTGACAAGAAAAAAACAATACACATGAAAACAAATTCCTAATATCTGGATATAAATACAAAACAGTACCAGAAATTAAATTAAGGTCACATATAAACAGGTGAAGTAATAGTTGCCAAAATAATAGTTCTTCAACATGTAGACCTCCGCGAGTGACTTATATAGCAACAAGTCAACAACTACATGAAGCATATAGCAACACCATTTATAATTTAAAATAAAAAACTAGACACATAATTATTAATGACATATAGATAAATTAATGCCTCATGTTATTAAAAGAATACCATGTTCTATCTTCCAGGTTTATCAAAGAAAACTTGAATAAATTTGAGAACAACAGGATGTCAAAAACAACTTTGAAAAAAGACAAGATACAGTTAATTATAGGACACTAACCCTAGTAATCACTCACTGAATTCACAGAAGACAAACCATTCCATGTTCCCTACAAACATGATCATAATTTCATTTTTCTGAATATCAAATAATCACCCTTATTTCAGAAGTAAACATGACCCAATGCTAATTATCTTCGGCTATAATTGGAAAAACCCAAGTCCAAACTAACATAGATCATTTATTAAAAAAGGGCCTAAAATAGTATCAAAGATATCATAGATCTGCTAAAAGGATCACTCCCCATTTATACATACACCAAGCCTAATAATGTTCGGCGTGAGGGAGTGTATTGGAAAAAATCCGTCTCATTTATCCTAGATCATTAAAGAATTGTCACCCACCATTTAGTCACATACCAAGCCTAGTAATGCTGGGCATGAGAGGTATATTGGAAAAAAACATAAGTCCCACATTCACTAGATTAAGACCAATATATAGTATATAAGTGGGGGACAATCCTCACCTTACAAGTCAACTTTGTAAAGTTGAGTTATGACCAAACCCACTTTTTTTTAAAAAAAATCAACTACAGATAGTACTTATCTTCAGTAGTAATCAACTAGGGCAAAGGAAGAAAACTGACACATGGATGCTTCTGTTCAAGACTTCAAGTTTTAGATCATACTTCTGCTTTTGAACGTCAAGCATGTATAGAGGGTGCCTTAGTTTCTATTTTTCAGGTTTGTCGCGAATCGACATGTATTATTTAGTTTTTGTCATAATTTGACAAGAATATAACTTTAGGTTAGATATCATAACCATTTGCTATTTGAGACTTTTTAGTGTGGTTATGTGGGTACAAGTACAACTGATAAATTTGCATTTGTATAACAACATAACTTCACTGCATTAGCCACGTCATGCATGGTGATGTGGGCATGTGGCCATATCATGCAACTGCACCACCTAATGTGTCTTTTTCATGATTGTGGACAATTGAGATAGGAATCAAGGTGCCATCTATAGGAAAACAGAATTTAGAAGAGAATATTATTGAAAGTCTGAAATGCACATTGTGCTGTACAGTTATATATATAGAGAATTACAACAAAGAGAATAACAAGACCCAAAACGGAAAACTAACTGAATACAACAACTAATAAAAGTATTTATTATTTATTCTCTAATACACCCCCCACAAGCTCAAGGGGGATGAAACACAATAGATGGGTTGATCACATTGAGCTTAGAACATAGAAACAAAAAACTTCTTGGTGACAAAGCTTTTGTCAGAACATCTGCATATTGATGTTGAGCAAGTATATGCGAAACCAGTAGAGTTTTACTTAGCACCTTTTCTCTAACAAAAAAGATGTCTAGTTCCGTATGTTTGGATCTTGAGTGTAAGACAGGATTGTGAGATAAAGCAACTGTACTTTGATTATCACAGAGCACTGTAGGAATATTTATTTTTGCAATTGTTTTAGGAGAGATTGAATCCACAGAACCTCTATGACAGCTTGAGTTAAAGCTCTGTATTCTGCTTCAGTGCTCAACCTAGCAACGAGCAGCTGCTTCTTGGACCACCAAGACACCAAGTTAGGACCAAGATAAATGTAAGTTGCTGAAGTAGATCTTCTATCATTAGGATCAGCTGCCCAATCAGCATCAGTAAAGGCAGTAAGATTGAAGGGAGTAGTAGAAGTGGCAGAGGTGAACAGCAATCCATGTCCAATAGTTCCTTTAAGATACTTACGTATCCTTTTAAAAGCTTTCCAATGTTCCTCCATTGGAGAACACATAAACTGACTCACTTTATTGACATCGAAAGCAATCTCTGGCCGAGTAATTGTAGCATATTGCAGGGCACCAACAACAGATCTGTATAAAGTTGGATCATCAAACAACGTACCCTCCTTGGCAAGTTGCTGGCCACCAACCATAGGAGTAGATATGCCCTTAGAGTCTTCCATTTTTACTCTAGTAAGAAGATCAGTGACATTTGTCTTGAGACAGAAATAACCTCCCTTTAGGAAGAAATTTGACTTCAATACCCAAGAAATAGTCCAAGGTACCAAGATCTTTAAGAGAAAAATGTCTATGGAGCTGATCAATTAGTTTTTGCAGTAAGGAGGGAGAATTGCCGGTGAGAATAATATCATCCACATAAACAAGCATGTAAACAGTGATTGTTGAATCAGATAAAATGAACAGACTAGGATCACATTTACTTTTGTTGAACTTAAGAATGATTAGAATAGAGGTTAATCTTTCAAACCAAGCACGAGGGACCTGTTTCAGGCCATAAAGAGCTTTCTGCAATTTGCAAACAAGGTGTTTGGTACCAGGTTCAACAAAACCATGTGGTTGAGACATGTAGATATCCTCGTCAAGCATTCCATTAAGGAATGCATTATTAATGTCCAGCTGTCAAATAGGCCAATTATAGGAAATTGCAAGAGAAAGAACAATCCTAATGGTGACTGGTTTAACTACAGGAGAGAAAGTTTCAGAAAAATCAAGACCAGGTTGTTGTTGAAACCCCTTAGCAACAAGTCTGGCCTTGTATTTATTAACCGAGCCATCAGGATTTCCTTTAACTCGGAAAACCCACCTGCATCCAATGGGATTTCTGCCAGAAGGTAAGTCAACCAGCTGCCATGTATTATTTGCATGTAAAGCTTTGATTTCAGCTTGCATAGCAGCAAGCCAGTTAGGATCAGTGAGAGCAACTTTCACTATTTTTGGTTCAGCACTAGAAAGCAAGAGTGTAGGATTTATTCTAGGTTTGATAATTCCATTTTTGGATCGAGTAGTCATGGGATGAACATTGAGTGTTCTAACAGAGGATGGATGAGAAGATGGTACAGTTGCAACAGAAGACAGTTGTTGAGAGGCAGAAGGCTGAGACGAAATTGACCTCATTCTATCCTTCTATACCCACCATTATGACCAGCCTTCAAAGTCGTGTCTTTGGTTGCTCTGTTTTTGTCCATGTTCATAGCACTCATCGGGGAAAGTTAGATCCTTGGGCTATCAAATGTGTCTTCATAGGTTATGCCTCAAACAAAAAGGGATACAAATGTTATAACCCCCAAAGTCGTCGTGTCTATGTCTCCAAGGATGTCACATTTCATGAAACAGAATCTTTCTTCACTAGTACTCAGCGTCAGGGGGAGAGTAATCTAGAAGAAGCTGAGTTCCTTGAGTTGTCATCTATTCCTTTGTTGCAAGATTCCGCTCTGATGGAGGATGACAAAGACCCTGGACCAATGCAAAATAATGAAGTTAGACGTTTTGAGATCCAATATCAACGAAGAGAAAAACCCGACCTGGTCGAACAGCAACTTCAATTGTCCGAACCGAAGGTAAGAACTCATAATCTTGAGGACACCTTAAATATCTCTTGTGATCTTAATCCAGATAATTTACCAATTGCCTTAAGAAAAGGAAAAAGATCTTGTGCCAAATATCCTATATCCCAATTTGTGTCTACTAAAAATCTTTCTATGCAGCACCAAAGTTTTATTTTAGCTATTGATTCTATCATAATCCCTACATCAGTACAAGAAGCCTTAAAGGATAAGAACTGGGTTCAAGCCATGAACGATGAAATGGGTGCATTGGAAAGGAATGAGACTTGGGAGATTGTAGAGAGACCAAAGGATAAGAAAGCAGTGGGTTGTCGGTGGATATACACAGTTAAGTATCGCTCTGATGGCTCACTAGACAAGTATAAAGCGAGGCTGGTTGCAAAAGGATACATCCAAACCTATGGGATTGATTATGACGAGACTTTTGCTCCAGTGGCAAAAATGAATACAGTCAGAATTATCCTTTCCTTGGCAACACACTTTGGTTGGGAGATGCATCAGTTCGATGCTAAAAACGCCTTCCTGCATGGAAGCTTAGATGAAGAAGTATACAAGGAAATTCCACCTAGATATGGTGTTGCTGGTGGAGGGAGTAAGGTTTGCAAATTAAGGAAAGCCTTGTATGGCCTTAAACAGTCACCTCGGGCCTGGTTTGGGAGGTTCACTCAGGCCATGGTATCTTTGGGGTACAAACAAAGCCAAGGTGACCATACTCTCTTCATAAAACATTCACAAGACGGAAAACTCACTCTACTTTTAATCTATGTGGATGATATGATTATTGCAAGTGACAATGAGAAGGAAAAACAGAATTTGAGGGAGAAGTTGGCTTCTCAATTTGAAATGAAGGATCTCGGTAAGCTAAAGTACTTCCTTGGGATAGAAGTTGCATACTCCAAACCATAGTAGTCAATAGCAGGCGGAGCGGCCGCTATCGCGGCGCTCTGGAGAGGAGCGGCCCGACCCCGCCATTTGGATGTTGTCGCGTCGCAAATGAGTGTCGCAGCCGGAGCGGCCGTGTCGGCGGCGGAGCGGAGCGGCCAGAAACGCGAGAATCGCAGCGCGTTTTTTGACCTACCCTTCATTAAGGGTAAGTTTGTCTTTCCATTGGGCTTTATTTGCCCTAATTTTCCCCCTCTCGCGGAAGTCTCCTTTTCTCACTCGCGCACTCCCTCTTCTCTCTCTCTACTCTCGCACTCCTTGGACGATCGTTTCTTCTCGTCCAGCTCCGACGCACTACGGTTCCGACAGCCC